TGACGTACTTTACGACGCTGGTGACGCGATGTATATTTACCGTGACGTACTTACGGATGCGGTGAACGCCGGTGTATATTTACCGTGGACGTACTTTACGGACGCTGGGTTGTCGCGTAGTGTATTTTACCGTGACAGTACTTTCGGATGCCGGTGACGCGTGTATTTTATCCGTGCACGTACTTTTTCGGAGCACGGTGACGCATGTATTTACCGGACGTAGTACTTACGGCGCGGGTGACGCACTGCTATTTTATCGTGAACGCTACTTTACGGACGCGGTGACCGCGTTGCATTTTACCGTGACGTACCTTTACGGACGCGGTTGACGGTGTATTTTCTTACCGCTGACGTACTTTACGAACGCGTGACGCGTTGTATTTTACCGTGACGTACTTTACGGACGGCGGTGCGCGTGTATTTTACTCGCTGACACGTACTTTTACCGACGCGGTGACGCGTGTATTTTACCGTGGCGTACTTTTCGGACGCGGTGACGCGTGCATTTACCGTGACGTACTTTACGGGACCGGTGAGCGCGGCTATATTACCGTGCGTACTTTACGGACGCGGGGTGACGCGTGTGATTTTACCCGTGACGTTACTTTACGAACGCGGTGACGCGTGTATTTTACGTGACGTACATTTACGCGCGCTGACGCCGTGATTATTATACCGTGACGTACTTTTGACGACGCCGGTGACCGTGTATTATCCGTGGCGCTACTTTACGGACGCGGTGACGCGTGCATTTTACCGTGACGTACTTTCGACGGACGCGGTGTGACGCGTGTTTTACCGTGAACGTACTTTACGGGGATGGGTGACGCGTGCATTTTACCGTGACGTACCTTTACGACCGGTGGATACGCATGTATTTTAACCGTGACGTACTTTACGAACGCGGATGACGCGTGTATATTTACCGGTGACGTACCTTTACGAACGCCGTGACGCGTCATTTTCCCGTGACACTTTTCACGGAGCGGTGACGCAGTGCATAGTTTACCGTACGC